CTTGGGAGGGACATTAGGCGGCCGGAGCTGCAGGCAGACGCTGTGTCCCAGCAAGCACTGGAGGACGCTGTGCCTGGAGGGGACGGGGCTCCAGGGCTTGGGTTCAGTCTGTCCCCACACATCTGCCAGCTCCACTGCTCCCAACTCCCTGTGCAGTTTGAAAAGTCACCCCAGTGCCACCTGCTTCTCTGACACAGCCCTTGTCGTGGTCCCACTCACCATCCAACACCAAAAAGCACTGGATGAAGGCCTGGTTCGAATCCCGGGTCCCCCTGTGATGAGTTGCAAGTCCTTACCTGCCTGAGCTTCAAGCTCTCCATCTGGAAAAGGCAGGAAGTCATTGGACCACTGTCGGATTGCAAAGAGGGTGACAGTAAAGGATAGAAGGAATGGGTCCTGCCCCACACGGCTCAGTCAGTGGGGGCTGCTGTTTTGATGAATCCTGTGTTTTGGGGCACCGCTGAGTCAAGGGTCACATGTAAGTGCTCACATATAGGCAGGGATGTTTTCATCTTTCTTTTAAAAAAATAATTATTATGTTTGTGGTACATAATAAATGCATTTCATCTCAGGGTGCATACACCTGTCACATCCTAATCCTCTGTCTTCCCTTTCCCCTCCCCTCCCTCCTGTCTACCCTAATCCCCAGTACCCCTTCCCATATTTATTTATCATCTATCCTTTATTTTGCTCTTTAGATTCTTCACCTATAACAGGAAACCATGCAATATTTCACTTTCCGCATCTGATTTATTCCATTTAGCATCACAGTCTCTGGGTGCACCCATTTTCCAGCGAGTGACTCAGATCTATCCTTCTCTGTGCTGAATAGCACTCCATTCATGATGTTTGTTTGCTACGTGACTTTCTAATGTCACCCAGTGTTAGGGCTTTAGCCCATCTAAGGCTCTCTTTGGTCCCTCAGTGAGAGTGTTGACTGACACCTGTAGGCATGTTAGGTAGTTTGCACACCTTCCTATACCCTTTGACACACTTTTTCTCCCAAGAGCTGTTTTCCTCTCCTTCCTGTGTGCCTGTCTCGGGGGAGGCCACCCTCCTTCTTTTTGGTATCTTTACTGCAAATGCTGGACCTTCTTGGCCCAGAACTGTGTGCGTGTCATTCAAACTGCAGATAACACATGCAATCTGGTGGCTTTCATGTCTACTGTTTTCTCCCCCCTTGGAATTTATTGTATCATTTCTTGGCATGAGATGTAGCTTCCCAGTAACTATAAGTTTGTTTGAGTTTATGTTCAAAAAAATGGAAAAGTTTGTGTTTCCTGAACACAGCTGAAGGGGTGGTGGAGAGGGGTCAGCGCTGCGGTGGGGATAGGGAGGCTGTGGTCATAAAAAGAAGCCTGAGAGCCAGGCGGGGCCTCCAGCTGGGGCCCTCACGCTTGTGTGGGCAGCAGCTGCCTTTGGAGGATCCGGGAACACAGGAGAGAGAGCAGAGAGGAAGATCCAGGGTGCAGGAAAAGGTGGGGGGACCTGCGAGGAAAAGAGAGGGGAGTTAGAGAAAGTGAGGCACAGGGTTCCAGACAGACTTAGGGTGACCGAAAGATACCATTTCCCCCACTGGAAGCCAGCTTGCTTGGGACGTGTCACACGCACTCGGGCTCCTCACCCTCGATGAAGTCCTGCCAGAGAGGTGCCCGGGCATCTTGAGTGAATCCATGGCTGCTCTGAGCTTAGACCCTCGGCGTGCACTTAGCAATTATGGCTTTGTCTGTCCTGAGTACCTCACTCCCCCTTTCCCAGTTCCTTTGGGGTGCTCCTTTCCCATAATAGGTGGCCTTAGTGGACCTGTCTGTCCGGCTGCCCTTCTCCTCCCAGCTCCTCAGGGCCGGGTGTGCCCCAGACCAGGCCAATTATAAAACCACGTCTTCCAGACACTATGATTTGTATAGAGGAGGCATGAACCAAAGCTCTGGACTTCTCGGCTGGATCTAAGAAGGAAGCCTCTTCTCTCCTTTTGGAGTCTGGGAAGTATAAGCTTGTGGCTGCTGCCTGCCATCTCTCTAGACAGGCAGGGAAACCTGCCTACCGTAGGAAAGGGGAGAGAATGAAGCAGAACTAAAAGAAGGCAGAAAGAAAGCAGTAACATTCACTGGAGACCCTTGACCCAGCAGTACCTGCAGCCGGAACACTTTGGCGCTTCCCAGTTACCTGACATTCCACATCCCTTCTTCTGTTCAGTTTTGTCACTTACAACTGAAAGAATCCTCACCTATACAATGTCTCATCTATAAATAATGGACATAATTCCTTGTAGGGTATTGGCATTAAAGGAGGTCACGGGTATGAAAAGGATTTCAAAACACAGTGAGACACTCCAAAGAGAGTCACGTATTGCTAGTGAGAATATGAAGTGGTACAGCTGGGGAAATTACAGGCGCTCCTTAAGCCATCAAACATAAAATTATTATGTGAGTCAGCAATGCCACTCCTACAGAGTCACATGTCACTTAGAGATGGAGACAGTTCTTCAAAGTGTGTGCTGGATGAGTTTATTGTACAAATATCACAGTGCCACTTATGCAAGCCTGCCTGATATAGGGTACATGGGATCCCCCTCCTAGACATGAGTGGTCAGCACACCAAACATGGCCGTATGTACCCAAGAGAACCGAAGCAGATGTTCACACAAAAGCTCCTAAACAAACGCTCACAGCAGGCTTCCGCATGAGCGCCCACAGTGGAAATCTCCAAGTAGACGCCACCTGAGGAACCGGGAAATAGAATGGGGCGCCTCCACACAGTGCAGTGTTACTTGGTGATAAAGAAGACTGAAACGCTGATGTCAGAACATTGTGGGGAGCAGCAGACACAAAAGGTCTCATGAGGGTGACTCCCCTGCCATGAAATGACTGGTAGTTGCCAGAGGCCAGGCTCAAGGAACAGGGAGTTCGTGGGTCTCAGGTTTCTTTGGGGATCGGTGGAATGCAGTGTGGTCATTGGTGATGGTTATCTGATCTTGTGAGCTGACTAAAAGCCATTGAGCTGAATGGCATTAAATCTCAATTAAAATTGAAAATAAATACACTGCGTATGCAGAAAGGGTTATTAGCACACGTATCACCTCCAGCCCCAGCTTCCACAGAGCCTTCATCCAACACTCTAAACTCGCCCAGGTTTAGAATCTGTATTCATCACCCATGCCCCGAAACCCTGTGTGGTTCTGATAATGTTTTACTGCGGACTGATTAAAGTAAGTTGATGAATAATAAATTCTGATGAAGTCAATAAACATGAGTCTCATCTCACCTGCTAGGCTCTGGCCCTAGCTCCTGCTCGCATGCTTCCTGCAGAGCATGGGGTGCCGTAAGTCCCCAAGTACATGTGGGAAGGACAAGCAGTACAGGGACCCCTCTCCCCCTACTCCATGTTATCCAAAGTACACTCACAGCACTCGGGATCCCCAGGTCCGAGGGGACAACTAACAAAGGGTGGACCGTGACCAGCAAGCCTGTGGACACACAGACCACCCACCCATGGGAGCAGCCCAGGGTGCCCACCTCAGGGGTTTGCACTCTTCATAGCTGCCCTGGGTTACTCCTGATGCCCCTGGGGCCTGGGCATCACGAGGACCAACAAGGCAGGGAAGTAGGTGGCAGCCCATCAGATGGTGGTTATTTATCAGGGCCCCAGCATCCTGACGCAAGGTGGTTTAAACTGACCCCCACTGGAAAGTGCTCAGGCTAGCTTCAGTGGGCCAGGACTCCACAGGTCCCCGAGGCTTGGTTTCTTCACTTTTCATCCAGTGTCTGCCTGAAATAAAGGCCAGATCCCCTGGTCCACTCCATTCTGAGATGACCTCCACACCTGGGAGAGAAGGAGGAGGTAGAAAGGCAGAGACAGAGTGAGTTCCCTTTTTTTCAGGGGTTCCTCTAGAGGAGCAAGAAAATTATTTTCTTTGTTACATTTGTCTGCTGAGACTCTGGCCCAAGGATGGCAACACGCTGATTCACTTCAGCCCAAACCCCAACCACATCCACACGCTCCACTCACTGGCTCACACACACACCCGGGGCAGAATCAGCTTCCCTCAGTATGCAGAGAAGTGGGAGAAGTGAGTATAAAGTAAACACCAGGCCGTGACCAAGGAGAGAGCGAGTGTTGGGGAGGGACCATGTTTGCCTCCCCAAACTCAGCTCAACCTCAGGGGACCTGTCTGAATTCACCTCCTCGGATGCCCCCTTCCACTCTCTCCAGACAGAAAAGGGCACCACTCTGGGCGCCGGGCCCAGCTGTACCCATCTGACCCTCATCTCCTCCCCTGCTCCTGGGGGGTGGGGGCTGGGAGCTGAGTACTCATTTGTGAAACAGATTTCAAGGTCAGCAAAGTTAAACCAACACATCCGTTGACGTCCAGGTTCTGTCTGACACACAGTGAGCCCTTGTCTAAGAGCCTGAGCAGAGGGGCTGGCTCTCCTTTCCTGAGAAGGGCCAAGGGCAGGCAGGCCATAGCCAGGGGCAGATTCAGAGATCCTGCCATAGTGTTTGTGATCTGTGACCGTGAAGGCTGGGAGGAAGGTGCTGGGTTCCAGGACAAGCGGGTCCCCTTCTTCCTGGCTGCTTCCCCATGCCCTAGTTGGGAGGGTAGGAAGTGGGTGGAGGGGACCTACATAGACGCCAGGGTCCCAAGAAGCACTGTGTCCTGGACATTTCAAGCCCCCAGGTGCAGGGAGACAGAGAGGTGTCTTCTATGGCTGAGAGCCCCTCCCTCGGCTTTGCATTCTCTGGGAGACAGAACCATAACCCGCTTTGCCTGGTCAAATTTGGTGATGGAGATGGCAATAGGCATGCAGGGGCCAGGTGAGTGAGGGGCCCGCTGGGGGTCTTCCAAGCCGAGGTGATGTACAGGGAGAAGGGGCCGAATGGGGAGGACGTAGAGGCCGCAGCCCGCCCGTGGGCCAGGTGGCAGAGGGGCCAGAGACTGGGCGGGAGCCAGGCAGCCGCGGTGTGCGCGCCCCTCCCCGCGCTCAGCCCTCCCACTTCCTCCGCGCCGCGCACAGGGAGCCGGGCGCCCGCGAGCACAGAGACTCGAGGCTCCGCTCGCCGCCCGGACTGGACCCGACCCGACCCAGCCGCGCGCCTATGGACCTGTCCCGGGGCCTCGTGGTGGCCTGGGCGCTCAGCCTGTGGCCAGGTACGTTGTCCCCTTGTCTCCCCTTGACACTGTGAGTCCCTCCCCGCCCGCCGGAGCCTCGGGTCCCGGTGCCAGGAGCAGAAGGCGCCGCGCCTCCTGCGGTAGGACCTAGGTGCTCACGGGGGACCTGGATCCCCCGGAACTGGCTGCAGTGCAGCAGCCCCGCCAACTCCCTCCAAGGAGGGTGGTGCGCGCCCGCAACTCGGCCCTCGGACGCCCGTGGGTCTAGGGAGAGGCGGAAAGCGCCGCCGAGGGCCGGTGGCACCACCGGGGGATCCCAGGGGACCGCGCCGGGTGCTCGGGCATCCTGGAGCGCTGAAGCGCGCAGCCTGCGCCCGGAGAAGCCCAGGCTGCGCCCCTGCCTGTGCGGGGAGGGCGGAGCACCCCGAAGTTGGAGAGCCCGGCGCGCCGCCCCCAAGCTGCGGAGACTGGAGGCGCAGGGCAGCTGCTCGGAGTTCCTCTGCATGGGGGCCCAACCAAGGTCTGGGGCGTTGGGCCCATGGGCGGTGTCGCGCCTCTGTGGCCGGGATCCTGCAGTCCCCAGTCGGGGAAAAGTAATTTGAAGGACAAAGCAGCGTCTGATGAGGGGGCTGGGGCACGGACGTCCTGGGCTCTGGGGACTGGGGGACCCGGGGCTGCACGGGGAGAGGCCTAGGTAGGGGTTGGCAATGGGTGTCAGGGGCGGAGGCCGCCGCAGAGGTGCTTTCGGAGCGCAGGTGGAGACCCCCCAGTCCGCCCTCGCCCTCCGCAGCGGCCACCTCGAGAAACAAGTGCGCGGGAAAGCCCGTCATTGAAAGGGGCTCAGGCTGGTGAGAGTCGGATCTCAGAGTCACAGCTAAAAGCAATCACTGCTGCGTGAAGGGGAAAAAGTGCCAACAGGCCAGGCCATCCAGGAACCAGCTCCAGGGGACCAAGCCCACTCTGGTGCTTTTAGCAGAAGAGACAGGTTCAGGGCTGTCCCCGGGTCACCAGGCAGCCAGCCACGCGGAGAGGGATGCCTTTCCGTGAGACTGCAGGATCCGAACTCAGGAGGCTGCCTCAGAGGCTGGGGACAGCACAGGCTTTGGACTCAGACCTGGCTCCGCCACCCAGGGATGGGGAGCCCTGCGAGGTTGCTGATTTGACTTCTCCAGCAGGTTTCCCTGGGGGACAAAGGAGGCGGATTCTGAGACCACCGACCTGCCAGTGTGCTCGAGGCAGGGTAAGCAAAGCTGAGCGGCTCAGCCAGCAGCTGGTGGTGATTTGTTGTTAGGAAAGAAAGGGAATACAGGACGGTGGCAGTCAAGGACCTCCGAAGGCAGGGTTTGTGACTCAGAGCTCCCTGCGCTGGAGAAAACCACTCCTGCGCTATGTCTGGTCAGTCTGGGTTCTGGCCATGTGGGATTCATTAAGCACATCAATCAATGTGGGAACAACATCTGCTCACAAGGAGCTGGGGGCGGGGCCAGGCACACGTGCAGCCCAGGACAAAGCAAGACCAAGGGCAGCAAAACAGAAGCTCCGGGACGGGCGGAGGGCCGCTGGGGACAGTGCACGGATGCAGAAGCTCAGCGTCAGCTGGATACACTGGGGAGGCTTCCTGGAGGAGACAGAATTTAAACAGCAGAGCATATTGCGGGTGGGACTTGAAATGTGCGGAATCGCATTTTAGGGCACTACCTCCTGGGACTAGTTGTTTGGTTTTCGTTTTGTTTGCTTATTTGTTGTTTTGTCAATGCCAGGAATTAAACCCAGGGCTTTCACACCGAGCTGTTTTGCCAGGCATTATTTTATTTTATTTTGAGACAGGGTCTGATGTAGCTCAACTTTGTGACCCTCCTGCCTCAACCTCCCAGAGAGCTGGAATTACAGGCATGCCCAGTCCTCCTGGGACTAAAGAATAAAAAGAGGATTATTTTAAAACCACAAAGGTGGCCCTGGTCAGTCTGGACTCCTTAGACTGCAGTGCTATCAGAGTCGGTTAGGTCGTTCCCCTGGCACCAGGGCTGGATGTGGGGTGAGCCATGGGCAAGCCTGGTGGTCCAGGTGGGCTGGACCAGAGACTCTGAAGAGGCCAGTCAGGAGCAAGTCCTCAAAAAAGCCATTTGGAGTTCAGAGGCTCTACCCTCCTGGAATTCCTGTTGCAGACTGGACATGGGGAAGAGGCAGACAACCGTCAAGAAAGTCCCCCGTAAGAAGTGAGCAAACCCAGAGACACTGAGAGTTGGCCTTTGGGAAGAAGGTCCTGGGGTTCCACTCCCTGGGATTGCCCCAGGGTCTGCCAGTTAGGGTTCTGTGCTCCAACAAGTTGTGCCTCAGTTTCCTCTCCTGCAAAGTGGAAAAAATAATAAAATTTATAGTTACCACAGAGATGAAACAAGCAGATGCACACCCAGTGCTCAGTGAGTGCCAGGCAGATATTAAGTGCTCAGGGAGGCTGCCTGTCTTCTGTAGCAGGACACGGTCAAGGGTGCACAGTCCTGTGCCTTCGAAAGTCAAGTCCATAAGAGAAGTCTACAAAAAGTATGCTGAGATGCACCAAGGCCCCTATAAACCCACCTGGCTCTGCCCTGCTGAAGTGTGGGTCACAGAACTGCGAGATGGTTTTCGCCGTTAAGTTGTCCTGAGTGAGGGATCAGACCCCTCCTTCAGCTTGACTCTAGGGTGCCTTGTGGGTGGGTGGCCTATTGAACGGGAAAACCTCATAGGGAAAGTCACAGAGCCAGGCACCATGGATTTGTAAAGGTCCAAGTTCCGCATCCCAGCTCGGGGAGCAGGGGAGGAGGTGCTCTTTGTCCCTGTCGTGGTGACTCCGTCTGTTCTCCTTACAGAGAGGCGGTTGGCTTCTCTGCTACCAGGAGCTGAGGGGCCTTTGGAGATGGGGTGTGATCTCTCCTCCATTTACCTAGCACCTTTCATCTCTCCCTTTCCTTGGACCCCAAATCTCCTCGCCCTTCTCATCGTTTCAGCTGAGGAGCTCGGTCCCACCTTGCCCTCTGCTGGCCTCCTTCCTCTCCCATCCTCACCCCTATGCCCAAGGCAGTGCCCTCTTGCTTAGGATAAAATTATATTCCGAGCTTCCCAGGCTTGGCTCTTGCTATGTAGAAAAGCCTTCATGGGAGAGATTTAAGGAGCTTTTTTACTCCTCATGATACCCACTGTGGGGTACTAGCCTCTCACTGTGGGAGTCATAGCTTTTCGGAGTCATAGCTAATTGTTGCAGTGTAACCACAGAGAAGGGGCTGTCATGATCCCCCTAGACACTGATAGCCCTGGCTGACCCCGGGAGGGCCAGCTACAAATCACGCTTTAAAAATGCTCACATGCATTTCACTCTTATTCTTCACCAACTGACCCTTTCTCAGCCTTACACCCCTCAAATCTCAAGACTGTCCCCAAGAATCCACAGCTACTTGACTGTTAAGATACCCACCATCCATATGAAGAGTTTGCTAGAGGAGGCCAGGGTCCCGGTGGGAGCCGTCCCCAGCCCCACCATGTCAATCTCGACTGCATGTTCTCAATCGGATGCCCAAGAGTTTGTTACCAGCAAGGGGAGGAGGACAGGAGGGAGACTGGAGCTGGCCACCCGGTAAACCAGGCCTAACTGAGCCATGGGCAGTTTTCTTCCTGTGGCTTCCACACCTGAGGCCCAGATGTGTGCAGGGTCGCAGCTGGAGGGACTGTCACTCATTGCTTCACCAGACTCTGACCACACAGTAGGTCATCAGCAGGGACAAGGGCCCAGCAGCCCTGCCTGTGTTCAGACACCTGTTTGGGTGGTCTAGGAGTTCAAGTTGCTCAGCTGTAAAATGGGTCAAAGGGTGACTTCACAGTCCAAGCTAAGGTTCGTGGCTCAGAGTGTCACATGCTTGGGAAACCGCCTGGCCCCCAGGAAGCCCTCTGTTCTCAGGAACGGTCACTGCTCTCCCTGTCATTTGATCCATGCCAGGCACCGGGTCAGCACTTTCCTGTGTCTCAGGCCTTACTGTAAGACAGTGTGATGCTTTTGCAAAGGACTATCTTTCCCCTGGTAAAATGAGACAAGACACAAACAGCGCCCACTCTGTCTGTTGGCCCATGTTGTCCCCCTCCAATTTGCTGGGATGCTGATGGCTCCTCTATGCAAGATGCTGGGTGGTTGGTGAGAGGGTCCTCCCATGGTGCCTGGTGGCATGAGAGCCTCTCTCTCTCTGTCCCTTGCCCATGCTCAGGGCCAACAGGGGTGCTGCCACCTGCCCCAGAGACCCTGATGCCCGTAGCTCACCCTCATGGGCCAGGCTGGGCAGTCTCTGCTCCCCACCCACTGGCTCCCGTTCCCCTAGTCAAAACCCGCTCCAGGTCTCTGTGCGCTAATTCCTGCTGATCAGGGCTAATGAGTGCAGACAGCCGATGTGTCCTGCCCACAGGATTTGCATTTTAACTGGGCTTGTCCTCCGCTCAGAGAATAAAGGGCAGATGTTGGAATGCCTGGCACCTGGGCTGCTGCTGGCAGCGGAAACCGGTGAAGCAGGGGACCCACTAGGGTGGTCCAGCCCATCAGGCCCCTGTCTCTTCAGTGCCACGTGCCCTCCCCAGCCTGTCACTGCCAGGCAGCCTCGCCCTGTTAAGGTGGAAAGGTCCGGCCTGTGGCTTGGCGTTGCTGCTCTAAAGCGGGCAGAGGTTTTTCCACGTGGCATGTGGAGCGAGTTACACAAGCTGCTGTAGCAGGATGCTCCAGGATGCCAAATAGGGTGACACAGAGAAGGGGCTCCTGCCTCTTCCCCCACCCCTGTAGCATCACTCAGCTGATGCAGATTTCCAGGGCCGGTTTCTCCTCTAAGATCAAGGGGCTGGGCACCTGGAGGGCCTGGAAAAATCATGAAGTGGGCTAGCGGCACCCATAGGTCCCATCTGTCAGGAGAGGCTGAAGCAGGGCTGATGTGTCCATTAGATGGATGGGGAAACTGAGGCTCTTAAAGGCTTAATGATTTCCTATGATTTTTCCCAAGATCTCATGAGCACTCAAAGCCAGGTCTTCT